TGCTTTTTTTTGGGGGGGGGGGCAATGGTATTGAACCCAAGGTCATACGTAGACATCCTAGGCAAATGCTCTATCATTTTACCTGCACCATTAGCCCATTTTATATTTTGTTTCCAAGACAGATCCCATCAATTTTACTTGGGCTAGCCTCAAATTCATTATCCTGTAACCTATTCTACCAGAGAAACTGAAATTATAGGCATACCACCATTCTCAGAAAAACTATTCAAAATTTCTTGTGACAATTCTATGTGCTTCCTTCCATGAATACAAGATTAACCAGCAACAGTTATAGTTCCTATATGGAGGTATCTCACTCCGTTGAAAATGTATGTGGGAAGTTAACACCTGTGACATTAAACATGCTGTAATTACAAGAATGCTCACCTTTAAGAAAACAAATCAGACAACCAATGTGCTGGAAAATATGCATCTGGAATGTCCTCGCTACTTTGGTAGTATTTACGGACTCATCATTTTCATAGCTATAATCTTGTATACATTCCTTTTGATTGAATTGAGAAAGGACAAATTTTAATCATGGAGGAAATTAAGATGTAGCTGAAAGTGGTGGTAAGTATGGATGTAGGGCTTGCCTACATGAACCCAGATAGAGCCTTACATTTCCAGGGAAAAGAGGCAAGTTCTATTTAAAATTAAAGATGCCTACATTTCCAGTGTTATCTTCATTAGCTGACATTTAGCTGGCTGGGTCACCAGTCAAGTTGTTTTTATAATCAATTAAATAGTAGCTATGCTTCCATTGCAATGAGCAGTGTGTGGGAAACTTTGATGGTCTTTAGAATAATCTATTAAAAATTATTGACCAATTTGGTTTTTCTATTATCCAGAATTCTGTGCCAACTTCAGTTCAGGCTTTCATGGGGCCGGCTAATGTTGAGAATAATTCATTTCAGAGGCCTCCTGCTGTCTTTTAACACAAGATATTTGAGAGAAGAGGGTTAATATGTCCTCCTTGATTGCCTCTAGGGTCTGAATATGGAAATGAACTCTGTAAAAGAACCCTAGATCGCGTCAACTGACCAAGGAGATACAGGATTGGTCACAGAAGTAAGCACAACTTTCATCCCCATATAGAAGCCCTGACAGCGGGTTCGTTCAGTAATTTAATGTTATGTAAAGAAAGGAGACATCAGACAGTTTTCTACGTTTCTGACCTAAGAATGGTAAAAATGATTGGAAGATCGGAAAAGTGTGGATAGAATCAAGGGGATAAAGAGTTTTATTTTAGAAATCCTTTTATTTTTAGATAGACCCAGATTGTATTATATCATGAACATTTTGGACCCAATAGTGCAGCTTGGACCACAAAAAGTCACATTTGATAGAAAAGGCAAGGGTTTTGCTACCAATGAGATATATTACCTCTGGTACCCAGAGTATGATCTCACTACTACCTAGATCACCTATTTATACCGGAGTCTTCTGTACTTGTTTTCGACCTTGTTTTTATTTTTCCAAGTAATGTAGATATAGATATTTTAATGTGAACAATTTACATATTGTATTATATTAATTTCGGAACTATGTTTCTAAGTCTTGAATGGTCCATGCTTTTCTTTTCTTTTCTTTTCTTTTTTTGTCCATTGTGGGGCTTGAACTCTGGGCTTGGGCACTGTCTGTGAGCTCTTCATCTCAAGGTGAGCACTCTACCGCTTGAGCCACAGCACTACTTCCAGTTTTCTAGTGGTTTTTATTGGAGATAAGAACCTTACAGACTTTCCTGCCCAGGCTGGCTTTGAACCATGATCCTCAGATATCAGCCTCCTGAGTAGCTAGGATTACAGGCATGAGCCACTGGCACCCGGCCTGGTCCAGGTTTTTCAATATTACCCTTACTTTGTGTGTGTTGTGTATGTTTGAGTGACATTTTTTGTAGGAAAGGGAAAATTGTAATCATCTTGAATAAACATTTTTAAATTTCTCAGGAGCCTATTCAGATCTTTCCCATCTTTAAAGTTATATTAATAAATCAAGGGTTTATAAAGCAAATAAAAACAATTCCCATAAGTAAAAATAAAATTCCAACTCTGACCCAAGATTAAAAACAAAAACCCACCACACAGTGTCTATTGGTATGAATTTTGAAAATCCAGTGGTATGGCTTTAGTATGAATATGGACAGAGTAGTAGACATTTAGAATTGTGTTTGAAAAATATTAAATGGTTCCAATTCATAGCAACATTTCTTCAAGGTATAGACTTTGGAGAGAAATCAAACCATTATCTTACTGGGGGGGAGGGAAGCATTAAAGGAGAATTCTTAAAGCAAAAGAGGCCAAGTGCCGGTGGCTCATGCCTGTAATCCTAACTACCCAAGAGGTTGAGATCTGAGGATCTTGGTTCAAAGCCAACCCAGGAAGGAAAGTCTGTGAGACTCTTATCTCCAATAAAGCACCAGAAAACTGGAAGTTGCACTGTGGCTCAAGTGGTAGAGTGCTAGCCTTGAGCTGAAAAGCTGAGAGACAGTGCCCAGGCCCAGAGTTCAAGCTCCATGACTGACAAAAAAAAAGCGAAAAGATACTTGTCGGCCACACTATGTGAGTTGGTTCTGATTCATAATAACCTTGTCTGAGCCAAGGGTATATATTCCCCAACTCCTTCAGAGAAATCATACCAACTCAGAATGAAATAAAAGTTATGTTGCTTTGCTTTGTTTTGCTTTTTGAATTAGTGTACATTTGAAGTCTGAAGGGATTTCACTGTGGTATTCTCATACATGCACACAGTGCAGCTGGAACAAATTCATCCCCCTTCACCATATTTACATTGCTTTTCTCCTTCTTTCCTATGAAGTCAGAATCTGTTTTTGTTGTTGTTGTTGTTTGGGAGGGGGTTGGTACTGGTTCTGTGGCTTGAACTCAAAGCCTGGACACTGTCTCTGAGCTTTTTTTTTTTCCCCTCAAGGCTGGTTCCCTAACACTAGAGCCACAACTCTATTTCTGGCTTTCTTTGTGGCTAATTATAGATAAAAGTCTCACAGACTTCCCTGCCTGGGCTGGCTTCCAACTACGAGCTTCAAATCTCAGCCTCTTGAGTAGCAAGGATTACAGTCATAAGCTACCAACACCTGACAAAATCAGATTCTTAAGTTTCCTTAATGTATGATATTGGTGCTTTCTGGTCTCTCTGAAGTTCACTTCTCAATAAAAATTTTATTTAGTGTCATTGACCAAAGAAGACTCTCAGCTCCTTGATTCAGGAAGGAATCATTTTGTGTATGACATCAGTTTTCTTTGAAGCATTAAGCAAGCACAGGGGTACCAAGGTATAGATTCTACCTACAAACATGATATTTTTCATGATCTCTATCAGTTTGATGACTTCATCTTTAATTCCGTTTTCCTTTCCAAACTTAGAAAAGCTATACACAAGTAAGTACGAAAATCTGAACAGTCAGCTAACCTGGCTGAGGCCCTTTCAGAATATGACTGCTTTTGAATTCTCCTCAAGATTAATTTAGCAAATTTAAGAAGGAAAACAAGTATAGATTTCTTGAAGACTTAGAACCACTGTTTTGTTTCTCATAGGAACTCTCCATTCTAACAGAAGTTACTTGAAAAACTGAAGCTGGAAGGAAATTTGAAGATGACTAACAATGGAAGTACCAAGGTACTTTTTCTTTATAGACTACCACCATCAGCAGGTGCAATGGTTATAACTAATCAACTGTCTTACACCTGACTTAGTGAGGATTACAATCCCAACAGAAGTTCATAAGCTGAAGAAGATAAATAGCCCAACATTTGTGTTAAAATAAATTAACTAAACAAAAGCTTTGGAGTCTTGAAGAGATATGGACAGCTCTGTAATAATTAACCCAGTAAAACCTGGAATAAGTGTCCACTGAATAAACCAAACTTCTCCTAAATCATGAAATTATTGGAGGTTATTTTAGTAAAAGCAAGTCTTAATGTCTATAGTGACCTGAACTTTGTATACACCTGCTTCAAGGTAGGGCATTTGGAAGCCTAGTGGCTTAAGCTTGTGATTCTGTGTTATTTTGCATGATATTAGGAAGATTGCAGTTCATAATCAGTCTTGGCAAAAAGTTTGTGAGACTCCACCAAAACCAATAAAAGCTGCGTATGGTAGTTCATACCTGTCATCCTAGCTACATGGGAAGCAAGATTTACCCGGGCATAAATGGAAAACCATATTCAAAAATTATCTAAAGCAGTTGGGCACTGGTGGTTCACACCTGTAAACCTAGCAACTCAGGAGGCTGAGATCTGAGGATTACAATTTGAAGCCAGGAAAGTCTGTGGGCCTCTGATCTCCAAATAACCACTAGAAAACCAAAAGTGGTGCTCTGGCTCAAAGTGGTAGAGTGCTAGCCTGAGCAAAACAGCTCAGGGATAGCACCCAGACCTTGAGTTAAAGGCCCACAACCAACCAAAGCAAAATCTAAAGCAAAAAGAGCTTGGGGAATGGCTCAAGTCATAGAGTACCTGTTTAGCAAGCCCAAGGCCCTTAGGACAGGGGCTTAATCCCATATGACTACTATCCTTAGAGCAAGGAGAATATTAACACGAAGGGGAAAATATGAAGAGATAGACGGAGAATTCAGCCACCTGCAAGCCACAGAAAGGCCTGCAACTTATTTTGATTTTTACCATTTCCTTAAGTTCTTCAGAAGGAATCAGCACTAGCACTTTCAGACTTCTAGCTCCCCTTACTATGCAATAATAACTATCTATTGTTTACACCACCCATTTCATGGTACTTTGTATAGTAGCAAGCCATTCCAATACCAGCTATCCTCTCGAAGACCAGAGCTGTTAATCCTGACTAGTCCATATTTTGGTTATCAGGGTTGTTGGTGACAAGCTGAAGAGCCAGGTCAGAGATGAAACAGAAGATTTACTACATCAACTCAACTAACAGGAGGGTAGAAAAACAAACACAGAGCCAGTGGAGTTTGCTTACTCTCATGATTTATTAATATTCAGATTGAAAAAGGAGCCTTAGAGCCGCAAGTTACGCTAATTGGCACATTTGCTTTATTTATTTATTTTTAAAACAAACTGGGTTTTTGCCTTTTTTTTCTTTTCCTTTTTGTTCATTCCATCACATTGAAAAGGAGGAAACAAAAATGGTTTTTTAATTCACTCAATATTTTGGACTCCTCAGCTGAACGGAACATTGCACACACACTTGGAACAGAGAGAGATAGATAGGAAAGTGGACTCCCACAGGGCCACACGCACCAGATCAAAAAAAGAAAAAGAAAACCGGGATACAGTGCAAGAATTTCCCAAAACGATTGGATCATCATTACCAAAACTCGCCATAACAACACCAAGAAACAAAATGTTTAAGCCACACTGTTTGACTTGGGATCTTTCCTGCTTTTTTTTTTTTTAAATGTTTGCCACACAGAGAGAAAAGAGGGCTCGTGGGGGAAGAGGACAGACTCACAGACGTGAGCAGGACAGGAAGGGGAACTTTAGAGTGGAGTTAGAGAGGGTAGGAGAGACAGGTTTCAGGAGAGGGGTAGTTGGGGACGTGGAAAGCCATTTCTTAAAGTTCAGGCATGTTCTTGGTCAGCCTCACGTTCTTCTTCTTTACCCTCATCCTGCCGGGCACTTTCCTTAGGTTTGGTTTCATCTACAGCTTCTGAGAAGAAAACAAGACAAGGGAGAAAGAGGGAGAGTTAGTATTTTGTCTCATCAATATGAAAATATAATGCATTTGTTCTTTTCACAGCTTTCAGGTAAGAGTAATTCATTAATACAATTCATGTTTTTATCAACACAATAAATCAATATAATTTCACAACTTTAAGACAAAAAGGATACCATTAATATCATTTCCAAGTTCAGAAGAGTTTTCCTCAAGGAAAAGCTACAAATGGACAACCTCAGGAACAAAGTATGAGGTTAGGAGCAAGTTGGCCACTCAATAGCAATGACTGAGTTCTTTAGCCACTCATTCACAGTGAAGTATCATTATATAGAATAATGTATGTATCACATAAAGAATCAGGTAAATGAGGTTGATAGGTGATAGAAACACCAATTTTATAAACAGACCCTTCTAAGATTAGTGATACCATATCTACTGTGTTAACTTTTTCTGCAAACTTCCTCATGTTGGAAATACAACAGCGATACTCACAAGACAATATGTTGGAAATTAACTTTACAACCTGGGGGGGTGGAATAGGAGAAAAATGAGAGAGGGGGTAACAATATTCTACAAGAAATGGACTCATTACCTACATGACTATAACCCCTCTGTATATCATATTGAAAATAAAATAAAATTAAAAAAAAGAAAATACTTGTATCTTTTAAAGTAAAACTTTTGCTATTGTCTTTTCTTCTCTTAATGTCTACCAGCTGTTAGGATTTTTTTCTTAGAAAGATAAACTGCAGTCAATGGGATTTTATTAGGTTAATACTTTTTATTCAATTTAAAGGTAATGGATAGGCTGTGAAATCACTGGGGCAAAGAAATATAACTGTGTTAAGGAGATTAAACTGGCAATACTGAATAAAAGGTATTTGGTGTTGGGAGGCAACGTTGAGATTAGAGAAATAGAGCCTATTTAGAAGACCAGAAGAACTCATAAAAAAGTATGTGCTTTTCAAATCACTCCAATATATTTATATTCAAATTAAAGATCCAGAATCACAACAAACCAAAGAAAGATTGGATAAATAGGATTGCATCAAACTGAAATGTTTCTGCATGGTAAAGGACATAGATAGCAAGATGAATTTGAAAGTGCACAGAATGGGAGAATATTTTTACTAGCTATATATCAGGCAAGGGCCTCAGATCTAAAATATACTTAGAGCTGAAAAAAAAAGTAAACCACCCAAAATAAATCCTCAAAGAAAAACAACTCAATTAATAAATGAGATAAAGATTTAAAGAAAGACTTCTCAGAAGAAGTAAGAATGGCCAATATCTCTGGTTATAAAAAGAAATGCAAATCAAAACAATATTGAGATTCCATTTCACTCTAGTTAGAATAGCCAGTATCAAGAAATAACTAACAATAACAGATGTTGGTAGGGATATGGCCAAAAGGGAACACTGCTACACTGTTGGTGAGAATATAAACTTGTTCAACCACTCTGGAAAGTAGTACGGAGGTTCTTCAAAAAAATAAACATAGAGCTTCTCTATGACCCACCAATTCCATTTCTGGGCATTTATCCAATAGGCCACAAACAAGGCCACACTAAAGCTACCAGCACAACCATGTTCACTGCACCATTGTTTACCAGGGTCAAGATATGGAGTCAATCAGATGCCCTTCAGAGGACGAATGGATCAAGAAATCGTGGTACTTGTACAGAATGGAATTCTATGCTTCCATCAGAGAGAATGATATTGTACTATTTATAAGTAAATGGAAAGTTAAAAAAATTATATAAAGTGAAGTAAGCCAGAACCAAAGAAATATAGGCTATATGCTTTCCCTCATTTATAGTAATTAGAATGTGCTTATAAATCTACAAGTAAACACAATGGTTGGTAAAAGACAAAAAAATTACACTTGGACATGATGAATTAAACAGGACTCCAAACATTCACACACTGATACCAAAGGAGGATATTCTCATGAGAGGATCACAAAGGCTCAATAACTATAAGCATATGATCTTATAAAATGATTTTTATCAAAATGAACTTCAAGAAATGGAAATAAGAAATTTTTTTGTTATTTTGCTTCTGGGGGGGGTATTATTTTCCTTCCTTTTCTACTTTGTCACTGTTTTTATTTCTGGGCTTTTTATCTTATGTGTAAGTTTATCTGATTGTGGGAGGGTCAGAGGGAGTACAGAAATGGTGAGACCAAAGGTGAACAAATGCAGCAATGATACTCACTGGATACCATGTTGCAAATCACTATACAGCTTGTCAGAGAGAATTAGGAGGGAAAAACTGGGAGAAAACAAGGGAAGAAGTGACACTGTTCAAAAAGAAAATGTACTCATTACCTGACTTATGTAACTGTAACCCCTCTGTACATCACCTTTACAATAAAAAAAATTTAAAGGCATTGATTTTCAAGCTGGCAGTTGAAAATCAACTGCCCACTAACTGCCAATTAATTCTTGAAGAGCAGTGCTCTAATTCAAGTTCTTAGATGAAAGGAACTCTCAGTTCTGATCATTATGCTGTGTACCTACCAACATTTCTTAGAGATTTTATATTTTTTAGTGTGCTAATGAACCATTTAATTTTCTGCCATAAGAAAGCTTCTAGATCTATTTCAGTGAGGTCCTTCCTTGGCAACCTGCAGTTTCTAGACTGTCTAAACCTTTGGATACCACAAGTTTTGCCCGAGGTAGTTTAAGATCCTTAGGAGCTACATGAAACAAAATTGTAATGCATTTTTCAAACTACAAAAGCAAGATAATATTGTTTTCAATTATGCAGAAGCATATAGAAGGATCATTTGGAGTAGAAGATTTCACATTGTTTTTACTAAAATAAAAATTTGGAAAATAAAATGTATGATTTGAAGGAAATTAGGAAACTCAAGCAAAAAGAGGAAGGAGGGTGGGTAAGGTGAGAAATTTACAACTGTGAGTTAAAAGGAAGGAAATTTGAAGGGGAGAATCAAAACAGCAAAAAACAATTCCAAAAATGTAAAACCAAAAAAAATAAATAAAAGAATAAAGTCAGTGGGGTTGTTAGATAATTACAAAAGGAAATGTCAATAATTTAGCTGAAACTCAATTCAGCAGAACATGTGCAATTAATTATGCATACATTTTATCTTGTATAAGATAGTAATTTTTTCATCTGATTATTTAACATTAAGCAAATTCATTTAGATGAAGGACTAGTTAGCAAAAACAAATGTGTCTACTCTATGGGTTCAGAATAATTTTTATAGGCCACTAAGAATCTACATGGAAACCAACAAAGGGCAGAAACAGTGTAAAGTTCCACTCTTTCACAGTCGGAAAGTGAGACCAGCTAAGAACATTTTTTAAGAAATCCTACATTTAAATGAGAGACATGTGTGTTTAAACTTATTATGTCAGCTCTGAGCTTACCTGCTGTAGCTAGATTCATTTGATGAGACGCTAAATATGAGTTTAAGAAAGGATTTTATCTATAAACAGGAATGAAAACAGGAAAGAACTCCATATTGCCTTTTTTTTTTTTAAGGTTGTGGCACTTGCACTTGGGTCCTGGGCACTATCTTTTAAGCTCTTTTGCTCAAGGCTAGCACCCTACCACTGTGAGCCACAGTGCCACTTCTGATTGTCTGGTGGTAAGAGATAAGAATCTAATAGACTTTCCTGTCTAGCCTGGCTTTGAACCATGATCCTCAGCTCTCAGCCTCTTGTGGAGCTAGGATTACAACTGTAAGACACCAGCACCCAACCAATATCACTTTCTTATTCCTTCTCCTCTGATGTCAACCTAGAAACAAGTCATTGTAGCAAACAAATCATATTGATTATATAGCTGCATAATTAACCAGTTTTATTCAATAACTTGAAATAAACTAAGATACTCCAGATATTTTGTATCAATTATTTAGCTAAAGGTAATACTTAAAATATGATTTTTTATACTTGTAAGCATTCCCTTTTGTCCTCACAGACACTTGAATCACTTTGTTTTGTAGATGTACATATTGAGGCACAAGAAGATTAAATAATTTCCCTCAACTCATGCACATTGATCCTCAATGGCAGCAAATTCCATTTTAGGATTGAACCATCCATCTGGGCAGCTGTTAGTCTAGATTTCTTTCCCTGCACCATATGAGAAGGATGGATGGACCCCAGGTACAAACAAGGGAAGGAGTCAACAGGTATATAGGCCTGGAATCTCTAAAGTCTGGAATTACTCTTGTTAAAAGCAGCTCAAAATGGTGGGAAGAATCCTGATGAGTCTTTTATAATAGCAAATCTCATCTTGGCACATTCTGGCACTAATTACATAATTTGTAAATGCTAGCAGTGAGTTCGTATGATATATAATCTTCAGTACTTGTACAAAAAACTTTGATCCTCATGGTGAGTGTCAGAAACAGATGAATGGCTGAGGGCAGCTGGTCACTCCAATTACCATAGTCCAATTAGGGTAAATAACCATATTTCTCATCTAGAGACCCAACCTCCCTCCTGGTGACAGTTGCTACTTCAGAAACTGTAGAAGAAAAAGAAAACCAATGTGAGACTGATGTGATTTGCCAAGTGACATGGAACAAGGAGTAAAAATAATGAGGTCCGGAGATGGCAAGGAAGCCCAACTCAGAGTTGCAGATATAAGAGCAGAAATCCAGAAAGCTAAAGGGCAGAACATTATTCTCCTTATTTAGCTCACCTCTGAACAGTAATTTACTCAGGCTACACATAGAAAAGCTAATCTTGTCACTGTTATTTTGATAACTTTGCTGTTATCTGTTTTGTGACAAAAGAATGTTATGCTAAAAGTTAAATTCCTGAGATGGTGGTACTAGAGGTGTGGTCTCTAGGAAGTAGCTGGAGTAGGAGGGTGGGCCAGCTGTGATTGGCACAGATGTCCTTAGACAAGAGACCAAGAGAGAGCCAGCTTGTTCCTTCTACCATGCTTCATGCAAGAGACAGCAGGTCTGCACCTCAAACCGAACTTCTTCCCTGACTTTAGACTTT